CACTATTAAGTTGATCGCCATTACTAATTCATCTTTTCCAGGTACTATTGGTCACGTGGCACATGGGAAGTCTACCGTTGTAAAAGCAATTTCAGGAGTCCAGGTGAATGTTTATTCCATCACTGATAGTTAATCTTGGTTTCTATTATTTATAGTAACATTCTGACTTCCTTTTTTGGCTCGATTGTTGGTTGGATTTTAAGTTCCATAGAGGTGCCTTGGATAATCTTTTGTTGCAAAAACTTTTCTTGCCCTCTATTTTCTTTTTCTGAACGATTGTAATAGGTAGGTATGAATTTTTAAGGGGAACAAAAAATGAAGCAAAGTATTCCATAAGCTTTCTGTTTCTTAATGATTGGTAAGGATAAAAAATGCTATTAGTAGTTTATGTCTAACACCCAGGACTTTTATATAGTTCACAGTGGCTTCAAGAACATGTAGTTTTTGCATGGATGCATTATTCTGAACTGGATTTAGCTTACAGAAAGTAACACAGATTTGAAGTTATTTTCCATAAGAAATTTTTGTTAATATGCGTACAATTTCCCTAGGAAAACATTATAACTTCTTCGTGTTCTGATGTATGTATCCATGGAATGTCAAATCTGCAGACTGTACGTTTTAAGAATGAGCTGGAGCGTAACATTACCATTAAGCTGGGGTATGCCAATGCAAAGATATACAAATGTGAAGATGACAAGTGCCCTCGGCCTATGAGCTACAAGTGGGTGTTTCTTCAATTTTTATATGTTGCTAGCATACACAACATCTACTTGTACTTAAAAGGTCAATTGACTTCCAGTAGTTAATTAACATGCTTAACATGCTTTTGTAGGGCGTATGGAAGTGGAAAGGAAGACAGTCCTTTATGTGATGTGCCTGGATTTGAAAATTGCAGAATGAAACTATTGCGACATGTATCCTTTGTCGACTGCCCGGTAAGTTGAATTATTGCATCTGTGTAGCTAAGAAATTGTATGAAACATGATTGAAGTCGAACAAAGTTAGTAATCTGATCCATACACATTTTGTGAACAGCAAGTAGATAAGTTATGTCTTCTTATGAGTTTCATGGGTTTTTACTCCTTGATTTTGTTGTATGGCGGGTTATTCACCATTCATATATCACAAAGCTTATTTCTGCCCTTTTATCATAACATGTTTCATTTTTTTTCCTAGGGTCACGATATTCTTATGGCTACCATGCTTAACGGAGCAGCTATTATGGATGGAGCATTGCTTCTGATTGCTGCCAATGAAAGCTGCCCTCAACCTCAAACTTCTGAGCACCTTGCTGCTGTTGAAATTATGCGCCTTCAACATATTATAATCCTCCAGAATAAAGTTGATCTTATTCAGGAAAATGTGGCAATCAATCAACATGAAGCTATTCAAAAATTTATTCAGGTTACTTTCCTTACTTTATTGTGTCAAGGTATTGATATTTTCATATGAATGATTTTCACTGTATTCACTTTGTCCTTTTAATGTCTTTGGTAGGGAACCGTTGCTGATGGTGCACCAGTAGTACCAATTTCTGCTCAGCTCAAGTATAATATTGATGTTGTTTGCGAGTATATAGTGAAAAAAATTCCAATTCCAGAAAGGAACTTCGTCTCACCTCCTAATATGATCGTGATTCGTTCTTTTGATGTCAACAAACCCGGATTTGAAGTTGATGAGATCAAAGGTGGTGTGGCTGGTGGTAGCATATTACGGGTATACTTATTACTTTTTTTTGGAAAATATAATCATCAATTCATGTTGAAATTGTGATGGTATGAAGTATTTAAAGCCAGCATTCAGATGGTTGATATGCTGTAATGGTGCATTATGTGCTTGTTTATGATAAAGACAGTTACTGGAATATGGCCAGAACTGACAAATGTGATTTATCCTTTTCAATTACCATCTATCTTTTGGTTTTGGTGTAAAAAGTTGAAAAAGAGGTTTTTGACTTTGCATATAGGTGATCTTGTTCGATAAGTTGAGTTACCTGAAGTTAAGAACTTTGTCCAAGTTTTTGGATTGTTTTGAGTTACTAGTTTATGAGTTCAAGCAAACACGTAAAAAAGTAGTAAAAATATTTTGTTAGCTTTTTTTTTCTTTCGGTGGTTGGATGTTTCAATTCCATCCACCCTGAAATTTTCAGTTGAACCTGTTCTGGATAATGTCTTCTCAAGGAATTCATGTCACCACTTCACATTTTTAAACTCATTTTACCTTTGGAAAAATTGTCCACAGTTTTGATGGTGCAAATATTTAAATTGTGTTCTTTCCAGGGTGTTTTAAAGGTGAATCAATTTATTGAAGTTCGTCCAGGGATTGTTGTTAAGGATGAAAGTGGTAACATTAAGTGCACTCCAATATACTCGAGGATTGTTTCATTGTATGCGGAGCAAAATGAGCTGCAATTTGCAGTCCCTGGAGGTCTCATTGGGGTTGGCACAACTATGGATCCCACTTTGACTCGTGCTGACAGATTGGTCGGTCAGGTTCTTGGGGAAGTTGGTTCACTTCCTGATGTTTTTGTTGAGCTAGAGGTAATGTTCTTAACATTTGAATGTTCTCTCTTAGTTAATGGATGAAAACCTTGAGATTGCAACCCAAGACTACTCTTAACATTCTTTCGCCCTCCCTACTTCTTCCCAGATTATCGTTTGCTTGTTTCTCTCCCCCTCTCTCTCCTTTTTTTTTTTTTTTTGGGTGCGGGANGGGGGGGGGGGGGGGGGGGGGGGGGGTGGAAATTATTTAAAGCAAAACTTTTTGGTATTTTTGTGCTCTTTTGGAAACAATCAGTGAGTATGTCATTTAGTCACTTTCTATTTGAGTTGTTTGGAGTGTAATGTTTACATACCTTAACCCAAAACCAACCTGCATCCACTTTTAGGGGTGAAAATCCAAATGTTACTGCATGCTTGCTTTTTCACAGTTCTATGTTGGATTTATAGAGGTTTTGAGAGACGTTGGGAGGAGGAGGTTTGGTCCAAGTTTAATGCTTCTCTTTAGGCAATAGTCTCCATACATTCTCCAAGAGATCGTTTGTGTATAGCTATCTGTTTGGCTCCTTTGATTGGGATATTGTTTTGCGATGTAAACTCAGTTTTCAATTAGAAAAAAAATGTCATCCCCAGTTTCTCTCGAGGCTGCTCTGATTTGCTAGCTTGGACATTATGTGGAAATTTATGAATGATTTGGTCCCGAAAAAGTGAGGGACAATTGTCGATAAAAATTGTCCATTTTGAGATTTGTCCTCCTTGTATTTGCAGGTAAACTTTTTCCTTTTGCGGCGGCTCCTGGGTGTCAGGACAAAAGGATCAGAAAGGCAGGGAAAAGTATCAAAGCTAGCCAAGGGGGAGATTCTAATGTTGAACATAGGATCCATGTCGACGGGAGCTAGAGTACTTGCAGTAAAGAACGATTTAGCAAAACTGCAGCTTACTTCCCCTGTTTGCACCAGCAAGGGGGAGAAGATTGCTCTAAGTCGTCGGGTCGAGAAGCACTGGCGTCTTATTGGCTGGGGTCAAATTCAAGCTGGAAGTACTCTCGACGTCCCTCCCTGCCCCATTTGAGTTGTTTTCGGGTAAAAAGGTAAGAAACAAGAAAAAAAGCGAGTGAGAAGAGTAAAAATTGCAGAATTTTTCTTGGAACCATTTTTGTTAGGTGGAGGAGAATACACCATCTGGTTTCTGATTGTTTATTACGTTGTCCTTTTCACAATTTTACCCGAACAAGAAGTCTTTCTGATTTTTAATATCTAAGTTTGGGATCATGGATGTGATATGTGAGCTATTGGTTGGAATGAGTCTCAAAATGTACTTTGATTTCGTACTAAAATTGGCCTTATATTCAAGAACAAAATTCCTCAGCTCTAGACCATTTCTTCTTTTCTCTTCACTATCCTTCTCTTACTCTTCATTGTAGCATCTTCATTTCCTGTTGTATATTTTCCTTTTGTTCCCCCCCCCTAATGCCTTTATATTTGAGGAATATGAGTGATCTTGTTGTTTGTGTGCAATTTCACCTATGAAATCCGCAAATTACCCTACTGATTATGAATCCCAAGTCGACGTTCTGTTTGTTGTTTTTTTTCATTTCTAAAGACGTTGAATTTCACTCTGATGCTCTGAATAAAGAAGGTTATAGTAGACCATTTATTTACGATTTAATTATAACTAAGTCAGGAACGTAAAGCTTTATTGTTCAAGTCTTCAACTGTTAATGAATTACTCGTTTACTTTGTATGAGAACCGTTCTCAAAATAATAGACTTACTGAATCTAGAGTTAGTAGCATACGAAATATTTATATGGAGTATATTTTGTGGTGTACAAATTTATTGTATATAATACTTCTACTTGCATTGTACATATATGATTTTCATCATAGTTATATCAATTGTGTTGCTATAATAATTTATCCAATCTCATCCATATACTACAAATTTTTTAAGTTATTACTTAACACGATCGTCATGCGTAACGACTCATTTTTTTAGATTTTGAATCACATACCACTATGTAAACTCTAGACCATAGTATGGTGAAATATAGGTTAAGCTTGGCTAAAAATCCATACTTGATTCTGGGAACTCAAAGGTTAGGGTCTCATATCAAACCTTCATAGTAGTCGGTTTAACTGACTTTTGGATAACAAAAAGGTGAGTTGATCTGCTTTGATCTAGGAAAAAGGCCAATGTACATGTAACACTTTCATGTAGAGAAAGATAGGCTTACCATGTTCCGAGTTTCTCAAAGCAATAAATTTTTTGTTATTTTAACTTCAAATGAAACATAGTTATATAAAATTTGAAACAAGAATATTGTTTAAGATTAATTTTTAATTGTGTAAATAAAAATGTGAAAATATTTGAAAGTTGGCATAATTAAAATATAGAAAGTAACATAATAAATAACTTAGGGGTATTATCAATTAAAGAAATAAATAACTAATGGCACGCAAGTTTCCGTAAATAATAGTAATAAAAAAAAAATGATAAAGACAGCAAAATAATTTTGCCCTAACCTTCCTCTTCCTCCCGCTCTCTCGCGTTACTCTCCCAGTCTGCGACAGCCTCCTCATACCCTCTCTGCTTCTTCCTTTCTCATCCACCATCGCAGCCAGAAGCCGACTGGAATATCGACGCTACATCTTCAGTCCTCTTGTCACCATTTCGTGGTATTATATTGTTTAGTTCTAGTTTCTTCGTCTAATGGTTGATTCTTGGGAAAATTTCTGAATTCTTGTATTTGCTTCAAATTTTCATTTTGGGGAAACTGACGGTATTTTCTTGAAACAATGTTAATTTGTTTAAATTTCCAATTGTCGTATATGTTTGCGTTTGATTTCAGTAGGGGACTTGTTTATATGAGCGAGTCTCTTTTTTTTTTTGGTTGGTTTTTGTCGATATCTTTGTTCTGTTTGAAGGATGAAAATCTATTTGATGTTCGAAGGCCAATTTAATTGATTTTAGGTAAATATAAGATTTTTTTCCGGAGTGTATCTAATGTGAGGGAAAACTGTTGTTTGTTTGCGGTGGTGTCGAGCAAAGGAAGAAAAACGACTTTATTTATTCTGAAAGGTAAGGATAAAGGGGGTTGGGGTTCTTTTAGAGGTGTGTTATCTAGCACTCCTCTCGACTGCTCCATATTCCTCAAAGGATAGAGTCGTCAGTAGGGCGATTCCTTCGTCTAAACTAGATTCTTCTGTGGTGATTGTGCTAACTTGCTTGTAACTTTGGAGGGAGATAAAGACTCGGAGGTGGGTTTTGGATTCGATGTCTCAGATGCTGTTTTGTGGAGAAAGGAAAAGGCGTCAAATTCTTTGGATATTATTGATTGTTGTGTAAGGAAGCTTTTTGGGAGACCTAAGAACTAGGGCTTTATGTGGAAACCTTGTTGTTTTTCTTTGTGAATGAGCCTTCTATTAGGAAGAAGTTGCTAGATTTTGGGAGAGGAATAATCCTTGATAGTGCTATTCGGTTTCGTCTACGGGATGAAGAGAGGGTGGTTGAAAATATGTGAACTACGTTTGAGAAAGGTTGGGTCAAAGTACTAGATATTTTCCCATCTTTGCACAATTGGGTTGGTTTAGGGATTGACAACTCTGTATGTGTAGGGGGGATGTCAACTTGGGGGGTGGGGGAAGTGGGAAGGGTCGACAGGAGGATTAACCTGAAAGAAGGGGCTTTTCCCATAAGGTTTGTGTTAGTGGGATTGATTTCAGGTGGAGATAGATGCTAACTTGAAGAAGGTGTGCTTTCAGGTGAAGATATCTAGCGACCAGGTGTTTCTAGCAAGAGATGACGTGGATAGTTTTCAACGTACAAAGTAGCCCTTCCGGGTAAGTTGTCTAATAATGGCCGAAGTTGTGAGGGGAGGACAAGTGTTCAATTTCTACACTCTCAGAAGTTAGTTAGGTTTGGGCCTCCTCCTGACTTTGGGCCCAACTTCTTTTAAGAAAGATTGAGCCTTCTTCTTTTTTAGACCCAAACATCATTAAATCGTTGAATACAAGTCAGCCATTAGTTGACATGAAGGGTGTTAGAGCAATTCCGTTACCTTTTTTCACTTTGGGCAGTGGCCATCATTATGTTCCACGCTAGCAACAACTAGCATGCAAGTCGAGACGGTAGTTTGTAACTCCCTAAGAGCCGAATCCTTCTTTATTTAGAGTGCCCTTGTGGACGTGTCCCAGTCTTGAAAGTTGATTGTCCTTTGACTCGGCCAAAAAATAGAACTATAGGTAAATCTAAAGAGGAGGATAGAATGGGATAGGGTGCTCAAGAAATTTGAGTTTTCGGTTTATTATGAGGGAAGGAAAGCAACAATCATGGTGGGATTTCAAATTTTTAAATGGAAATGATTCTTGGAATGTATGAAGTTTGGGAGCAAGGAGAAAGGAGGTTGGTTAACAAGGTCCTTGCATAGGAAAACCTCGACATTGTCATTCTTATTGAATTCAAACAAAGGAGTAGTTCTAAGGAGTTGGCCAATAGTTTATGAGGTAGAAGAAAGGTGGTGAGGGTGTGATGGGAGTTTCAAGTTACCTCGGGAGGTATTTATACGAGTAGGATGGCTTGGTCTTTGGGAATGGTTAAAGGGGTCCTTTCAGTGTTGGTTTCCTTTAGCTTCGAAGGGGGTGAGGGGTGGGTTCCTGGGGTTTATGGGCCTCCTAGTCAAAGAGGAAGGAGTTTTTGGCATGTGTTGGGTGTTGGGTGGGTTGTTTAGCATATTGCCCTCTGTTGATGTATAGTAGGGGACTTTAATATGGTCGGTAGCCTGCAAGAGAAGAGCTCAGGAAGGAGTTTTTGGCATGTGTTGGGTGTTGGGTGGGTTGTTTAGCATATTGCCCCCTGTTGATGTATAGTAGGGGACTTTAATATGGTCGGTAGCATGCAAGAGAAGAGCTCAGGGAGGAGTGACGAGATCTATGCATTTTTTAAACCATTTTATTGAAGTTGGTCAATGGGAGATTCATCTGGTCCAACAATAGATACAAAAACGTATTGATAGATTTTTGTTCTTAGAAGGTTGGATGGAAGTGTTATGTAATGCGAGGCAATCTTAGGTCCTAGGGTTACCTTGGAACATTGGCCTCTCGGCTTGAACTTAGGTCCAGTGAAATGGGGTCCTGTTCGTTGCAAGTTCGGGAACATGTGGCTATCCTCCATCTTTCAAAATTTCCTTCCTTCAATGGTGGCAATCCGAGGCTTAAGGAAGAGGGGAGGGGTTTCCCATTTGGGGAAAACCAACTTAATTAAAAGGGAAGATGAAATCTTGGAAGGGACTTTAGGGTCAACAAATAGGAGATTTTGGGGAGACTTCAAGCTTTGGACAGGTTTGAAAAGATGGAGGAGGGTTTATCTGAAGCTGTGAAGTGCTCGGGAGCCACTGAATTTGAAGTTTGAGTTTGGAGAAATTGTGTGCGTGAGTTGGATTGAAAAAAGATAAGAACTTTCAACTCCATTGATTAGGAGTTTGAAAGGTTTGTTAACTGAGGACTATGAGTTGAGGGGTTAAAAGGCACTTCTACTTTCCAAAAGCCCGTGGAAAGCAATTATTGTCTGATCTTCCTCTTCTTTCTTAGTTTATTCGTTTTGACGTTGGAAGCAAGCGTGATGCATATTTTTTGAGGAAAATGGTTGGGGGATAGACTCGTTTATATTATTTATCATCCTTCAGGAACTACTTGATTGCTTCGATCCTTGGTTAGACAGATTATTCAACTTCTTTCTTTGGTATCTGCCGATCGTTGACCAATAGGGCAAGCTCTTCTCTCCTTTCTCTCTCTCCTCTTTTTGCCTTAGGTCGGGGGTGAGGGTGGTGAAGGGTGTGATTCCTGCCTTTTGGACTCACTATTTTTTTCCAATGCTTGTCCAATCCTTTCTTGGTGGGTGATTTTATTTTCTTCTTAGTTTGGAAGGTAAAGATTTCCAAGCAGATGAAGTTCTTCACATGACAAGTTTTGCATGGAAGAGTTAAACTCCTGAATCAGATCTTGGCTAGAGGTTTTTTAGTGGTTGGGCCTCTTTGTTGTAGTCCTTGGAAAGCATGTTGTGATTTGCTTGGGTTTGGCGCAAGTTTTTTTGAGGTGTTCAACTTTAGTTTTTGAGGAGCTTTTCCTCCGTTTTCCATTTTGTAATAATACAACTGGGGTGTGCTATTTTATGGGGGCTTTGAGATGAGAGAAATAACAAAATCTTCGGAGGGTGCCAGAGTTCTTTTGGTAATGCTTGGTCACTTGTTATATTCTCTGTTTCTCATTGGGCCTTTGTTTTTAAGCTCTTTTGTAACTATTCACATGGTCTATTTGTTATTTTTTATTTTCCTTGTTGGAGCCTTTTTGGTCACTTCCTTTTTGTATGACCATGTATTCTTTCATGTTTCTCGAAGGAAAGTTTTAAGTTTTTACATTAAAAAAGAGAATCAATTTGGTCTTCTCATTCCCTTATTGATGCATATATTTGCAGAAGGATTGAGGTTCATAAACCGTGATGTTAAGGTTGTTCATATTCATTTTACTTCAGATTTTAGAAAGCCAAAGTATACTTTAACCTTATTCATTTTCTAGCTTTTTCATCATCGTTCTTTTGTGAATACTCTTTACTGTTTAGATATTCTTACCTCAGTGGTTTCTCATTTTCATTTTTGATACGTGTAAAATTATCTGTCTGTCTTATCCTTTGACTATGGGGGCATGTTCATTTGATTATTTAGTCTGCTTGGTGATAATAGCTCTTCATTTCTTTTATATTGTTTGATGGTGTTGAATAAATTTGATTACTAATATCTGATTAGGTATAAAAAGTAGGTTGTGCAGATAGAAAGAAACCAGAGATGAGTATTGGTGGTGAAAAAGGATCTGTGTCAACAAAGACACCAGCGGACTTTCTCAAATCAATTCGGGGCCGTCCCGTAGTTGTGAAACTCAATTCTGGTGTTGACTACCGAGGTATATTTGCATGTTCAATTTTGTTCCATTTTTATTCTCGGAGTTGTATCATTACTTTTAAGAATATGTTAAAGTTGAGAGAAAAATTACCTGCAAATGGAGGCTCTGTGAAACTTTTTTTTTTTTTTTTTTTTTTTTGTCCTTTCATATCTTCTCTTTATTATGACCTTACTTGAACATTGTGTGTTCCGTACGTTGTACTGCTTCCTTCGGTTCATATATTCTCTTTATCAATTTCTTGTTCTTCAACTCTGACTTGCTTGTAAAAGATGATTTTTTTAATAGAAACTGAGCTCCGGAAATGAAGAAAAAAAAAAAAAATGAAGGAATAAAAAACATGCATACAAATAAGTGCCCAAAAAGTGGAGCCGAAGTCAAAACTAATGCCTTGGTAGAAAGGGTCCAATCCAAAATAATTAGACCAAGAGAATAATTAGAGAATCTTTTGAAATTGACATTCTCCCACTAGAGTATGTTTGAGACAGACGCCTAGAGAGAGGCACTAAACATGCCAAGAGCCTTCACATCTCCTAACATCTTCCCAAAATCTGTCAATCCCTCCAAAAAAATCTCTTATTTTTCTTCAACTAAATGCTCCATAGAATAGGCAATAAACCAGTCTATCGAAGCTTCCAACCCTTATCTCGAAAAGGCAGATGGAATAAGGTCTCCTCCATGATGAGGCAACAATCTGAGAGGAATGTTGGGAGACAATCTTCATGGCAAGCCAACAAGTGTACTTTGGGCGTGGCGACCGTAGGAGAGAGGAACAATAGGATCCTTAGCATTATATGTAGCATGATAGTAAGGATGTTTAGTCTCTTGTTTTTCTCTGAACATTAGTGTCCTGTACTTTTTTTAAAAAAATTAATATTTAGGTCTTATTTTGCTTGATTGGAGTCCCTTTTGTGGGATTTTATGTGTGGCATGACAGTTAGGATGTCCTTGTCTTCTTTCACTTTTTCCCAGGAAAATGTGATTCATTTTAAAAATCAAAATCTGATAGAAATGTTATTAGGAATATTATTTGGACATCAAAGTATATATAGTGGGGGTGGGAAATAGTAAAGATATTTATGGGTTGATTTAGTTGTCTCAAGTTTGAGTGGAGGTCCAAGTAGGCCTAATTAGTCGGGAGTTATTGTATTCCTCATCTTTCAATACTATTTTAGCTATTTGGGTTCTACCACAACCGCTGTCATGGCCATGCACACACGAAAAGTCTCCAAAAGAGTTCCAAATCCTTATATCATACTTGGAACCCTAGAGAATATGACCCAAATCCTTAGACACACCTCCTTGGCAAGAATACATAAATGGCTTGAATAACGTGCCCAAGAAATGATTGTAGAAATGGGGAACGACCACAAGGAGGAAAGCTGGTACAAACAACAAAACAAGTTACCAAGGGGATTCTCACCACCAAGGAAATAGGTGTTTGAACAATTCTTAGATGAAGCAATTAATGAAATTGGAGAAAAAGGGACCACCCAAAGAGATGGATTTTTTAGGGTTCTTGAAAGTGCCTCCCAACCCTCTCCCTGAGGTTCGTTCGAAAGGTCGAGGGTCATAAGTGCTTATTATAAACATTTCGCTACCAAGTATTTGCCCCAAAGGAAACTATTTAGCCAGAAAGCCTCATTATGAATCCTCAAATTGCTGACCTAACCCTCCAAACTCTTATGTCTTATAACACTCTCCCGACTAACCAAATATGAACCGCCCCCTTTTCATCACCCCCACAAGAAACATGAACATTTGTTTCACAAATGATTTGGTGTTAAACATGATCCTTTGTCCTCCTTTGTATTTGAAAAACAGGTAAAATTTATATTGAATTCTAATGTGAAAATCCCATTATATGTTTCATTGCAAAGGTATTCTTGCCTGTTTGGATGGATACATGAACATAGCAATGGAGCAGACCGAAGAATACGTAAATGGGCAGTTGAAAAACAAATATGGCGATGCTTTCATCCGTGGGAATAACGGTAAATACAGTAGTGTTTGAAAATCTCGATGTTTTGAGAATAGCCTGAACGTTGATGTCTTAATGCAGTTTTGTACATCAGTACTTCGAAGAGGACAGAAGGGTCTTCTTAGCGTAGCTAAGACTCCCGACGGGAAATGCCACATCCTTTGCAGTACGTGATGTTCCTTCAGTCTCATGCTGTAAAGTGAGAGATCAATCGGAATTGGAAACTCATCATTGAAATTGTAATGTACAATGACGTAGAATCCACCCATGGCGCTATGCTGTTATTGTTCTTGTGAACAACTTCGACAAAGAAAAAAAAAAACTTGTTTAGTTGGAAATGGAATGCACATTATGAACCTTTGGTTTTTTCTTATTGAATTGCTAATCTGATTTTCCCTCGTGTTTTTTACATTATTTTTCATTCATCTTGGTTTTCTAATGGGAAACATTTTATTTAGTATAGATTTAGAGTTAGTATTGCATTTAATCATGAATTTGTCGACATTCATAGATTACATTACTAATTTTTATAGTAGGAGATGGTAGGGATAGTTGTAATTTTATTTTTGAATTAGTTAGGTTGACTTTGACTAAAATATATGTTCAACTTTCGTAGGAAAGAAGGTAAAAGAGAGTTTGTGCAAATTAGTAAGATCGAAAGGTACAAAAGTTAGAACTAGTTAAGTCTTGAACCTTTGTGTTGATCTTTTGCTTTGCTGTTGCAAGGGTGTTTGATCGTACATAGAAAGCTTGAAGACCTTTGGTTCGTGAATTGACTCAAAATTTTAGTTGGATTGAGTTAGATAGTTCGAATTGGTTAGGTGAGATTTGTCATTTATTATCTTGTTACGAATAAAGAATAGAAAAGTAATTAAACGGTTGACATTTATCTGATTCCAAACAATTATTTAAAAAATGATCCTTCAAAAGAGGCGTGACCCATTTTTCTAGAGAAGTCAACATCTATAAATTTATTTACTGTCCCTTTGGTTGCATAAAGTTGATGCTAAATTCTAATTGAGATAAAAGTTTTTTTTATTAAAAAAAAAAAAAAAAGAAAAAAAGAAAACCCCCACTAACCCAAATCTTCTATTATTTTACTCACTTCCCTTTTCTTTACCAAATCGATTTATAAAATTATTATTATTTTTTTCCTTTAAATTCTTTCAAATTAATTACTTAAAGTGTTTTGCGTGCAATTGCACGATAGATCTTTCGAGGCTTTTGTTATCCATTTTTATTTGTTGCCAAAAGTTGGTGGGACCACACTTTTGTTCTCCTTCGACACGATGCCCTTCCCCAAAATTTCATAATTCCTTTGTTAAATACAAAAAAATAAAAAAGCATTTTCATTCATTTTTAATACTTATTTTTAAATATGTTTACCAAAATTATATTTTTATAATTATTAAATTTGATTTTATACCGGTACAACCAAATAAATCTATCATCGTACTTTTTAAGGAACGTAGGGTAAAAAACATTATTCATAATTTTTTTCTAAATATTAGTCGATGACTCTTTAGTAATCCCCGTATATTCATACTCACGTGGGAGCTACTTCTGTACCTTCCAACTATTCCCTTAATAATAACATGATAGCATTGCATATCACATGAATCTAGAGCATGTCGTTATATCATCTAACTCATTTAATACAAATATGAACTCTAAACGTTAAGTGACGACTCGTTAATTTTGTATAATCATGATGGGTGCGGTTCTATTCTTCTACCGACTACAATAATATTATGTGAACCTTTGTCACTCTAGACAAGTTAACTGTTAGAGACTGAACGGTTAGCCTCTAACAACTCCCACATAGTAACACGAAACCCATAAACATGAATCATAGGAAGGTATTGAATTCCATCATTTTTCAGTCATATACTAACTAATAAGTGATACTTAAAGCGGACAAAACTCTAATAGACATTCATATCAACTCGAACATCCAACTCAAACAAATCGCTCGTCTATCTCGAGATGCATGCATGCAAGGTTTTTAGCTTACAATTTCAGTGTTCTTCCTCCTACGAGCTCGTTTCTTCTTCGATCGGCTTCACTTCCTTGTTCAAACTAGTGCAAACATTAGATAAACTGGAGGGGATGAAAATGGCAGACTATGAACGATAAAATCAACATGGAATGGTTGGGCGGCTGTAATATATATATATATATATAAAATAGTGGTTTTTGCTTCGGGGAATTTTGATAGGTTGGAAAAGCAAGCGGACTTTATTTAAAAAATAATAATTAGTTAAGAGGAAAATGAATTCCACTTGCCCATTAACACACCAAAACAATATTAGTCTCCAATTTGGATACAAATCCTTTTAAAGAACTTCAAGGGATGACGAACCAGACCACTGAAGCTGCTGGAATTTGGCTCACCATTTTATACTATTGTTTACTATTTCAAAGGAGGTACCAATAATCGAACCGACCTAATCGAACCGATCTCATTGAATAATTTTGCACCTTCAAACATAGAATTCACAACTCAACCCAACTTTCTATTTTTGAGTATCAAACATTCACACGTCACAAAGCATCGCTAACATGATGAGTTGTAACCCTATTTTAGGGTTGGACGGGTTGACCCAACCAAAAATAAAACCGAAATCTTATAGTTTAGGTGGGATAGTGCGAGTTAATCGAATTCTCGAATTCTTTGAACACTCCTACCATAACCTATGACTAAGTAAAGATACGGTGTAAATCACTTTTGAAGAAGTTTTTTTAGAATTTCTTGAACCATTTTTCATTAAAAAAAAGGCAATAAAAACTGTTTGAATACGCTAAGAATGTGATGGGAAGAAAGTGAGCCAAGAGTTTTATCATCTTTTGATCTAATCTTTAGCAAAAGTTAATAGCGTCTTAATAATGTGTGGCTTAGAACATCTTTGGTTGCACCATTTCCATTCATATTAATTTACAATTTATCCAAAAAGTGGTGTTGACATGCAACCAATAATCATCCAAAGTCAAGAACACTAAAATAATGAAGAGAGTTGCAACCCTTTTTACCAGAAAAAACATAACAAAGTTGCACGCCCACTACTCCACCTTATATATTTTTGGTTACCCAATCATAAACATCATAATCTTTAATTTCATAAAATTAACAACACTTTAGACCGAAAAATGAGATGTTCTATCGGAAGAGTTATGACTCTCGAATTTACGAATTTGGTGAAATAATCGAATGAATGATTCAATAATAGAGTTAAGGGAGGGCACATGACCCTTGTGTTGTCCGAGTGAGGATATAAAATAAGTTTTATCCGTATAATATATGGATCATATAGGAGAGTTCAGTGATTTAATTCTATAGAGGTGTCCTAATTATCGAGTAGTGGAACTCAATATATGGAGTTGGAATTTTATGAGTAGAATCGAACTAACGCTTACTAAGAATATTTAGTGATTTTGGCTTACACCAATGAGATAAGGGATCTTACTATTGAAACACATTTGAATTGGGTTGAATGATTTGTATGGTGTAAGAGTGACACACACCCTGTAGCTTATCTACATATAATACTTATAGACGTTTATGAAATTTCTATGATGCAATCCATGTATACTACGATATCATGTTCACGTTATGCCTTATGAGACAATTGATAAATTATGTACGATAAGAATGAATGATATGTCATGTACACATGCATGTCTCATAGGAAAGTTATATCATGAAAAGTACGGAAGTATGATGTGCTATAATTTAAAAATACGAGACAAAATGTTTGTTGTATGTCATGAGTGTGGAATACTTTCTTATTATGTTTTGTCCAGACGCGTACCCAAAATATGATACCTGCTCCTTTATTTCTGTTGGTTTTCGATAGTGCGAGCATGTGTACCCAAGTAGGTTACCCCAAATTCGAGTGCTTAAGAGTTCTATAAAACGTTCCTGATGGAAAAAAAAAAAAGTGAATGAAAAATCCCACTTAATTGAATTGGGTCTATGAATCTAAGAAATAGTGAGAATTTTTTATATCTCTCAGTTCGAAGTCCTTACACATCAGGAATACCCGTTTGCCCTTTGTAACAAGAAGTTGATCTTGTCCTTTGAGGGATAAATCAACCACTTGACGTCCATTTGATGCATCCACCACAGTTATTCATATCCTCATTTTTTTTCTTTTTGTATTATTTTACTTATTATACCTAATATTATATCATTATAAACATTAGTATTACTCTTACTCCCGTTCGAATAAATCTGACTCCACCCCTTCCTCTGTTCTACCTACGTATATCAAATATTTTAAGTAAACAGCTTGTTCTAAAGTTATTGGGGGAAACTGCCACGTGGGATCTCATAATTCATCCTCTTTTGAGGTCTAGTATCCTCGCTAGCACGTGTTCATCTTTACAACTAATGTAGAATCTCACGATCCACTGAAAAGACGAGTTTAGAATTAAATAGAGAAAAAAAAAATTAAAATTCACACGCGCAAGGAGAAAATAGAAAAGAAAAACATGGCACATTCATTGTCTTTTTTGGTGGCCCCCAATGAGCATTAATATTATAATATCCCCCCACCAAACTTAGTGGAATAACTGAATCAGCATTTTTTATTGTCCCCTCCTCCCTCTCTCCTCTATATTCCATTTCCCTCTCCTCCACCCACAAACACAAACACAAACACAAACACACACCAAATTCACAACAACAAATCGCAGCTCCAAGCACCGATCATGGCGGACGACTGCACCGACAGCTCCGTTGCCACCTCTTCCACTCCGCCCAACTGGTGGAATACCCACAATCACCACCACCACCATCATTATAACTCTAACTCCTCTTGCGACGACGACGTTTTCATCTCCACCTCCTCCTTCACCAACGCTTCCAATCACTCCGCTCTCACCCTCGACTCCTCCTCCTCCGCCGCCGCCGCCGCCCACCTTCTTCCCCACCACGCTTCCGATCATCATCTCTGGACCCAAGTTTTATTGTAATTTCCTTTTTTTTTTTTTTTT